CTCACCAGTCAGTTACACCATTCCTTAGTGGTGAAACCCCCTCCTGAGAAAAATCCTGGACCTGCCCCTGGTATTACATGTCATAAACATTTAGGCTGGCACTCTAGCACAACATCTAAAAACAGAATCCTCCCCATTTAGATTGTTAGAAGTACCTTACCCCCCCCCCCCAGGGATCAAATTCTATGATGTGAATCATAACAATTTTTTTAAAGCTAGTGATACCTCGGCTGGTGTAATTCATATCGAAATACACCTGCATCTTGACTGTATCCAACGAAGGAGACTGTGAGTCCAGCAATCTGTCCACACAAAGCTATGTAACAAAACAAGCCCATTTAGGTGCTGTGCAAGCACTTCATTTCTGAGTACCATACACGTATACTTGAAGGGGTGTTACCATGTGGCACTAAATTTTTGCAGGAGTTTATTTTTGCAAATCAGTGATTTTTTTTATTTTGCGGGAATTCATTTTTGCGATTGTAAAGGACTGGTTTTTCTTGCTGGGTATTAATTTTTGCGATTTTCAGGAAGTCATGTAATCCAGTAGCCAGTGTCACTCTATTACAATTACATTGTGCTTTAATGTGGTTGATAGTTATAAGTAACAAGATTCTACTTGTGATGTTTGTATGATTAATTTCGCCAGTAGAGTAAATTTTTGTGGAGAAAATTTTTGCAAGAATCTACTTTTGCAGGAACTCTTTTGGCAGATTGTGGAAAAAAATTGCAAAAATTATAACCTGCAAAAATTAAATCCCCCATGGTAGTACATGTGTTCATAAACTACAGATTTCATAGAACATAAGTCAAATTCAACAGGTCCTATCATCATGAATTTTTTCACTTAATCTTAGGAGTCTTCATTTGTTTTGCAAGATGAAGAAGGTTTTGGCAGAAATGCAGAAAACACATCATGCAAGATCACTCAGATCATGGTGCATCAAAGGAGCCGAAGAATCCGTTTGTTATAATTCGTGTGTTATGGAGGGCGCAGTAAATTAGTCCAGTACCAAGTTAAGTGGCAACCAGTCGTTTAGCCCCAAGACAACTAGCCCCTAAACATTTAGCCCCAACCAGAAGTCAATTAGCTCCCAAACAGAAGTTGATTTCTCGTTCTTTAAGCGTGAATATGGAGGATAATCGACTTCTCGTTGAGAGCTAACTGGCTAAGAGCTAATCGACTTGGGGTCTAAGTGACCAGTAACCAGTTAACTATTCATTCATTTCAACTTATTCGCTAAAGCGTATGGCGATCGTGCGGAACAAAATCATGTATTTTGAGCAGCTCTTAGGTTCCTTAAATACTCTATTAATTCACATGTGCCAGAAACAGTCGCTGAGCGAAACATCACTGGATTGATGAGAATTTCTGAAGCCCTCCGGATCATAAACCCATCAATTATTAAATTAAGGTTCACTTCATGTACATCCTGTACACAGGGTTACATTGCATCTTTCTTCCCAGTACCTACCATGATAAGTTTCTGTACGTCATCTTTGGTCAAAGTTCTGTCCACGTTAAATTCATTATCAGGATCTAAAACAACTGCTTTGACCTAAAATTAATCAAAATAAACAATATGAAAGATGCAAAAACTTTAAAATAGGCTGATCGGTACAAAGAAAAAGACACAAGCTCGACGGTTCTACTTTGTCCAAGAAAATCGACCCACCATAAACGCTACAAGAGTCTCTGAAACCGCCTGCCCTTTACTGGCGCATTCTTGAGCAATTTCGCGTATAATATTCTTGATGACACTTTCAGCTTGTGCCCTAGACATTTTAAATAAGCTCCTGCCCACAGAAGATATCACAACATCAATGCAATGGGCAAAGATCGGAAACGTCGATGGATAAAACGAACCGGATGAAAAATGCCGCCATGGAGAAGTTTACAGAGGTGTCATGGTAACTAGAGCTGCAATTCCGCGGGAAACAGCGGGAAACTGGGGACTATCAAAACAAGAGCAGCGATACTTTCGGTCAGCGAAGCTACAGCAAGTTGCATGCACACTGCAATATTTACATTGAAGAACAACATGGCGGATGTTACTGAAGAGAGAGAAAATTACAATTTTCCCGTTCCCGAAGCGTCTTTGGATTCAGATCCTGAAGTTGTTATTCGTAGAGAGGTATTAGACACCTTTTCCACCCCCGGTGATGAAATCAATGCGAAATTGGCTGAGGATTTCGATCATGGTCTCAAGAATTGGACAAACACATTTGATGAGGATCGAGAGAGCCACGTAGAGACTGTCGAGGAAAAGGCCAGCATTGGCGGGAATGAGAGGTTTGCTCGACAGGAGAATGCGGGAACCGCTGATCACGAGAGAGTCACTCAAGATGAAACTCGGACAAAGTCACTGGAAAAAGACAGTGTCAAATCACCAGAGGTGGAATTCAGACACAGATATTTACAACAACAGCAGTGGCAGCAACAGCAAGAACAGCAAGAGAGGCTCAGTTCACAAAATGAAGACACTAGGATGTCGCAAAGTAACAATCAATCCTCAAAGTCAATGGAAGAAAAATTGAAAATAAACAAGAAACAAGAAGTTCCATCAATTAAGGAAACTTCCTCTGAGGACAAACTCCATGATGGCTTCACGAGTAAGTCTGGAATCTGTATTTGAAAGGTGTTGCAGGTGCTCAAGATAAACCCAATTACCAGCCACTGTTCAGGAAAATGGAGGGGGGG